CAAGTAAGTATACTTTATACATATATATTCAGCAGCACTACAGTAGACCCTTAAATAAGATTAAATGTGTGCATGCTCACATACCCCAAAAATTACCCCTCTGAAGATAAAAAGAATTAAGAGTATCTAGTGAAATAACAGATTCTGGATGTGTTGATAATTCTCAAAAGTGTGTTCAAATTTAAACTCTGGCACAGAATGGATAAGTGACTCATGGATAATCAAGAAATTAATTACCAGCACACCCAAGATTATTTGTACAGTTTAAAGTTTAAATAAGACCATCTCATAAAAATTTTATCAGTATGCCTTATGTCTTCTTCATAAATAATAATAAATTATATAATTTAAGTGAATAAACAGAAAAATATGGACCAATATTGTAGTATTATTTAATATCACCTAAGATTATTAACCAAGATAGAATTATAATTAAGATGGAAATAATAAAATCTGTTGAATTAAACTTATAAAATTAGTCTCATCTACTGTTTTAATAACTATATTTTCCAGGCAATTTTTATGTAAAATTGTCAATCTTGTCACATTTAAAACTTGTGTAAGATTTGTAAATATAGGTCAATTTTTAACCGGTTCAGAAAGTAAAAAAGCTTAAAAAAAAAAAAAAAGAACCACATAGTAATTTCTGAAAATGTTTAAATAACTTGTCACAGTTACTCAGATGTTAAGGTAGCTCATTTTATTCATTGTTACATTCCCAGACCAAGCACAGTGCCTGTGACACTACAAGTAGTCAATTACAACTGAGGTTTCATCCTTCACAGGCTGTACCAATTTATTTTTTATTAAGATTTCCCACCCCGGGGGCACCTGGGTGGCTCGGTCATTAGGCATCTGCCTTCCGCTCGGGTCATGATCCCAGGGTCCTGGGATTGAGACCTGCATGGGGCTCCCAGCTCAGTGGGTCACCTGCTTCTCCCTCTCCCACTCCCCCTGCTTGTGTTCCCTCTGTCACTGTTTCTCTGTCAAATTAACAAATAAAATCTTTTTTTAAAAAATTTCCCACCCTGAACATTGAGTGCATGTATGCCTATGCCCATTTTTCTGGTAAGAGGACTATCTTTAATCACAGACTCAAGTGACTATATGGCACCAAAAAAAGTTAAAAGCTACAGACTGAAACAAAATATGGAATTGCTAAATGTAAGCTGTGTCACTCAAACACAGCAGAGAGCTGAGGTACCTCTAAGAACGGTTCAAAAGAAAGACATCAACTCTGGAAGAAAAGGGGTTTTTTGGCTGCATTTTTTTCACCTTTTGGTTTACTGCTCTTGTTGTCTGGTCTGTTAACCAAAAGCAGACTACTACAGTTCTCCATTTAATTCACTGCCACAAATGCATCTACTGATAGTTAAACTATAGCACACTTTAGATATGGTTATCATTAAGTTAAATGCACCTACCACAAATGAACAAATATGAGTGTACATACTAGATAATTCTCTTTGGAATCCAAACATTAGCTTATTAAATACTCTGCTTTATTAATTCCTGTAATCCTTGCTTACTCTCAGAAAAATAGTGGTTAAATCTCACATGATAAAGTAAGCTAGATTTCACATTAATTTTCCTTTATACACCACTTAAAATCTTCTTTTGGGGAGCTTAGGTGGCTCAGTTGGTTAAGCATCAACTCTTGGTTTTGGCTCAAGTCACAATCTCATGGGTGGTGAGATCAAGCCCTGTGTTGGGCTCTATACTCAGCAAGGAATCTGCTTGAAGATTCTCTCCCTCTGCCCCTGCCCCACACTGCACTCTCTCTCTCTAAAATAAATAAATCTTTTTTTAAAAAATCTTCTAATATTGAGTATACCTATTTTGTAGGTTAACACCATACAGCCTGGCTCCACCAAGCTCACTGTACATGCTCATCCTCATGCCAAATGTAACTAAGATGTTCCAATTCCATAACAGCACATTAAGAAAAAGCCAAGTTTCAGATTTTACACTGCCTGATTACTAAGATCATATTAGCTCACCACTAGTGGTTTAGTCACCATATCAACTATTCATATTAAATCTTTGGATGCAATGAAAGTTAACAATGTTATTTTTATGTTGTGCAAAAAAAAAAATCATTCAGTCTGTTTTCCCTTTTTGATTACAGTTCATTTAAGGAAAAAATGTTGTTGTATGGCTTGACAATGTTTTATGTGTCTTCGGCTGATAGAACACACAAAACGTTTGAATAGGCCCATTTATTTGAGCAGACGTATTAAATAATACTTTAAATGTGAACATGCATGTCATAAATTTTGTAGTCTCTTTAAAGTAGGATAAATCTGGTATTTAAAATAGTCTTTGTTCAAAGTCATTTTTTTTCTAACAGTCATAAAGGGACTCTGATTTGTGCTGCATGAACAATGCCAGCATCATCATTTTAATGTTATCCATATGGGCTTCTAATAATAGATAAGAGTCTACATTTGTATTATATGTCTTAGAGACATTTAAAATCTAGATAAGGAAAGGCTGATTTCATTGGCCCCATAGTTAAAGGAAAGCAGACCCTAATTAAAAGAATTCTGTTCTGAATTAACTAGTTTGACATGTGCTAATTGACAGTTCCTGTGAAATGGTTCTAATTAAAGTCAATATGTCTTTTTCAATTAAAAGGAAATTAAGAATATACTAATATACATTAACAACTTAATCTTCCTTCAATATCCCATACATCAGCTGCTTTTTCCCCCCTAACATTATTGAAGAACCATCTGACATGAATCATCTACTGTTTGCTTATGGTGTCTCATTATTACTTCACACGAGCACAGCAGTAGTATATGTCCCCTTGAGAAAGAGAGTAACCTACATATGCTTTAATTTTTAGGGCTCCCAACTTTTAATTCATTAAAAAAAAACCCACCTTTTTGAATTTAGAAAATGGACATTCTTATTAAGAATTTTTGCTAACTGAAAACAAAGACAAGTGTTCTCAATTAGTTGGTCTTTTTACTATAGGCCTTAGAGGTAATTGCATTTTGCTAGAAAGAAGGTTGGACTATGTTTTCATCATTTGGCTTGATTCAAAGCAAAGCTTGATTTGAGCAACATACAGAAAATATCCTTCAAATTTGTTCTGTTTCCCAAGTGAAATTTTGGGGAAATCTCAGGTGGGAATATTTTGCATTGTATATGTAACAGAAAAATAGAAAGCAAGATTGTTTAAATGCCAGCACTAACAGAAGGCCCATCATATTCACTGAAAATATAACATTAGCAAAGCTGTTTATAGAAACATAATTAAAATATTCAAATATGCATTACAAAGCTACGGTGTTAACAATTTTAATGCTAGCAAAAGTAATATTAAACTCAAGTACCAATACTAATATACACAACACTGAAATCACATGGAAAACTATAGAAAAGATTAAAACTATTTTGTTTTGTAGATGACTAAAACTTAGACATTTTAATTATAATTAAAAATATATATTTTTTAAAGATTTTATTTATTTGACAGGCAGAGATCTCAAGTAGACAGAAAGAAAGAGGAGGAAGCAGGCTCCCCGCTGAGCAGAGAGCCCGATGCGGGGCTTGATCCAAGGACCCCGAGATCATGACCTGAGCCGAAGGCAGAGGCTTTAACCCACTGAGCCACCCAGGCGCCCCTAATTAAAAATATTTTTTTTTTTAAATTTGTCAGAGAGAGAGGGAGAGAGAGCAAGCACAGGCAGACAGAATGGCAGGCAGAGACAGAGGGAGAAGCAGGCTCCCCGCCAAGCAAGGAGCCTGATGTGGGACTCGATCCCAGGACGCTGGGATCATGACCTGAGCCGAAGGCAGCTGCTTAACCAACTGAGCCACCCAGGCGTCCCTAATTAAAAATATTTTAAAGAAGTTTTAATACTATCAAGATACTATATGCAGTCCTTTCATAAGATACAGCTGATATTCTAATAGTAGTTCCATCAACTCCCTTTCTACAGTTTAAATTCAACCACAAAATGTGGCTACTTAGAGAAATAGAAAATTATTTTACTTAAGTTCACTAACATTAATTTATGCATGTTAAAATACAGAACAAAAAAAGGTAAACAAGTCATTTTCACTTTTCCACTTTTATTCACTATTTTAAAAGCATTAAATTTGCTATCACTTGTAGCATTCTGAATATATGCATGATAGAGAAACAGTCAGCCAGCCAGACAATGTAAGATCTCTCATGGAAAGCATTTTTTCCAAAGGTACTCTATTATTCTTTTCCAAGTAGTTACCAAAAACTTTAATGGGGACTCTAAAAATCAGGTGAAGTCTAGTAAACTTCCAGAATGAGTAAATACATATTAATCCATGTTCAAAAAAGCACCTCCATATGATTAAAAATATGTTCAAACTCAATAATCAAAATGCAGTGGTCTTTCTCACCATTTGGAGTCCCTAGTTTGATTTTCAATCCCAGGATCTTGCTCCTTGAGCTGGCATTGACAAAATGCTGCAGTAACATCATGTATTCATCTTTCTGAAATGGGAGGGAAGCCAGTGTGGCAACTTTTCTGCCCAATTAAAGAGCATTGTCTATAGCAGGCCTATATAACATACAGCCTATAGACTGCACACAGCCATAAAGCAATTGCTCATAACCCACCTACAGATTTGAGAAGAGGATCAAGTAAAAAGACAGACAATACGGCAACCATGTCAGGAACAAGAGATACAGCTGTTCCAAAGATTCCACCTCTTAATTTACATGTTATAATACTCGGTATCCAAACTCATGATAAAAATCAATGTGATTGGTCAATCCTAACAAAGGCATTCACTGTACTAGACTTGTATAAAAACTGTGCTAGACTTGTATAAAAACTTCCTAATAGGCAAAAACTATATAGAACTAAAACTAAGAAAAACCTGGAGCATTCATCTGACAGCTTTTCTTTGAGCAGTCAATAAATATTTACTGATGAGCTTCATGGCTTATACTTTCTATAAGAACTTCTTTTCGTCTCTTTTTCTTGCTCTTGTCATTTACTTACCGATGGGTGACCATAAAACTTTTTGTCCGAACAGGAACACTTTTAAAAATGAACACAGCAGGGAGTGGTATCATGGACGATGACAGTACGAAGCTCTAGAATCAGTCCCTCCACCAAAAGAACTACAAGCTGGTAAAAACAAAAACAAAAACTTGTTAGAAACAACTATTTCAGAACTCTGGAGTCTAGTTGAACACTTGTAGCATCCAGGGGAGTACTTGATGAAGAAAAGACTAAGTTTTAGTAAATTTCAGCATTACACATAGCAGCTACAATACATAAGCCCTGCCAAAAGTAACCATGGGGACAACAGCCTAAATTCCTGATGCAGCTTTCTGGCATCAGGGCAGACACTAAAGACCTTTTTCTCTAAAAACTAAAAGTCTGTGTTTTGATCTACATGGCAGTTCACTGTAGGGCCAACACAGAGCCCTGGCCATTGAGTCAACCCATCAGGTTGCTTTGCTTGCATCACTGAAGGAAGTCACAGAGACATAATAACCTTTCAAATTTTTTTCCCCTCTCTGTATCAAGGAATTTAAGGAAATATCTGTCAGGTCAGTGGCTGACCACAGAGGTAACAGAATACAGATTTCAGTGACCACAGATGACAAGAAATACAGTCTGCAAAAACAATGTGGAAAAATCAATAAACAAATGAATGAACGACTGCAGCCTTCATCAAGTAACAATAGCAATCTTGGTGTATAAGGAAGAATTTTATTTCAAGAATTACACTACAATATTCAAAATGTCCAAATATCAACAAGAAAATTAAAAAGCACACAAATGGAAAAATACTACTCATTCATAGAAAAAAATTAACAGAAATCATCCTAAAAACGCCCAATACTGAACTTAGTATGTAAATACTTGAATTTACTACTTTAAATATGCTTAATGAGCTGAAGAAAGCCATGGACAATGAACCAAAGTAAATTAGGAAAAGTATGTATGAACAAATAAGGAATATCAACAAAGAGAAATTATTAAAAAGATCAAAGTAGAAATTATGGAGCTAAAAAGTACAAAAGTTAAAACAAAAATTTCATGAGAGGCACTCAACAGCAAATATAAGCAAGCAAAAAAAAAGAATCATCACATCTTAAACCAGAGCAATTATAATTGCCTAGTCTGGGGAGAAAAATAAAAACAAAGCAAAATGAACAGGGCCTAAGAGACCTATGGGACACCATCAACATATCAATATATACATTATGGGAGTCCCAGGAGAAGAGAAAGAAAAAGGAGCAGAAAAAAAATTTTTGAAGAAATATTGTCCAAAAGCTTCCTAAGTTTGATAAAAGATATGACTATACACATCCAAGAATCTCAACAAACTCTAAGGAGACAAACAAAGAAATCCACACCACATTATTATCAACTTGTGGAAGGACAAAGAATCTCGAAAGCAACAAGAGATAAGCAATTCATCATATACAAGGCATTCTCAAGAAAAATTAATGGCCTTTTTCTTATAAAAGATGAAGGCCAAATGACAAGAGGATATATATTTAAAGAATTGAAAGGGGAAAAAAATGTCAACCAGGAATTCTGTATTCAGCAAAACAATGCTTCAAAAATGAAAAAGAGATTACAACATTCCCAGATAAACAAAAGCTAAAGGAATTCACTAGTAGTAGATGTTCTCTGTAAATAATGCTAATGGAAGTACTTTAGGCTGAAATTAAAGGATAATAGACAGCAAGTTAAAGCCATACAAAGAAATAAAGATCACTGATAAAGGTAACTACCTGGGTAATATAAAACGTAATATTATTGCTTTTTTTATATACAACTCTTTTTATTTCCTATATCATTTAAAAGACATGCACTAAATAATAATTATAAATCTATGTTAATGGGTACACAATGCAGAAAGATGTAATTTGTGACAATAACAACATAAAGGAGAAGATAAAGCTAGAAAGGAATAGAGTTAATGCATGCAACTGAAGCTAGCTGGTATCAATTCAAATAAAACTTTTATAAATTTATGATGTTAACTGTAATTCCCATAGTAGCCACTAAAAAAATAACTAAAACCATACATAAAAAGAAATAAATATACTTGAACCAATGTAACACTGTGTGTCAACTATACTCAAAAAAATTTTTAATGAAGAGGGACTCAAAATGGTATACTAGAAAAAATCAATCAAACACAAAAGAAGGCAGCACTTGAGGAATTTGAGGAACAAAAAAAGACATGACACATAGAAAAATAGCACAATGGCAGAAATAAGTCCTTTATAACAAATAATGTCTATAAAAGTTAAGGGTTAAACTCATCAATTAAAAGACAGCTACTCAGCATTATCAACAATATGCCAAACTATGTAAAGAGCCCAAATGTCCATCAACTGGTGAATGGATAAAAGTATGGTATATATATAAACGATGGAATATTATTCAACCATCAAAAAGAGTGAGATATTGCCATTCACAACATGGATAGAACTAGAACGTGTTATGCTAAATGAAATAAGTCAGAGAAAGACAAATACCATATGATTTCACTCATATGTGGAATTTAAGAAACAAAACAGATGAACATATGGTGGGGGGAAGAGAGGAAACAAACTATAAGAGAGTCTTATAAATAGAAAACAAACAGGTAAGAGAGGGAGGTGGGGGGAAGGGCTAGATGTGTGATGGGTATTTAGAAGGACACTTGATATGGTGAGCACTTATACAACTGGGTGTTGTATATAAGTGATGAATAACTGAATTCTACTCCTGAAACCAACACTGCACTGTATATTAACTAACTAGAAGTTAAATAAAAAATTGAAAAAATAATAGACAACTATTAGTAGAATGAATTTTTTTTAAATATGACACAACTATAAACCGTATATAAGAGACTCATTTCACACCCAAAAAACACAGGTTGAAACTGAAAGGAAGGAAAAAAGGTATTACATGCCAATAGTAACAAAAAGGGAGCCCAGTTTACAATATTAACATGAGACAAATGGATTTTACATCAAAAACTGTTGCAAGACACAGAGAAAGACATTTTATAGTGACAAAGGGTGAACTCATCACAAAGGTATGACAATTATAAATATCTGTGGTGAGGATATGGAGAAAAAGAAATCCTGATGCACTGTTCATGGGAATGCAAACTGGTGCGGCAACTATGGAAAACAGTATAGAGGTTTCTCAACAAAATAAAAATAAAATTACCATATGATCCAGTAATTCCACTACTTGGTATTTACCCAAAGAATACAAAACCATTAATTCAAAAAGATATATGCACCCCTATGTTTACTACAGTATTGTTTACAATAGACAAGATATGGAAACAACCCAAGTGTGCATAGATAGTTGAATGGATAAAGAAGATGTGGTGTATAGATACAATGGAATATTATTCGGCCATGAAAAAGAATGAGATTTTTGCCATTTGCAACAACATGGATGGACTTAGGGGATACAGTGCTAAGTGAAATAACTCAGACGGACAAAAACAAATACTATATAACTTCACCCATATGTGGAATTTCAATAACAAAACAAAGAAAAAAGATTCCTAAATACAGAGCATAAACTGTGGTTGCCAGGGGGAAGGTGGTTGGGGGGACTAGTGAAAGGGATAAAGGGTATTAAGAGTACATTTATTGGGGCCCTTGAGTGGCTCAGTAGGTTAAAGCCTCTGCCTTCAACTCAGGTCACGATCCCAGGGTCCTGGGATCAAGCCCCACATTGGGCTCTCTGCTTAGCAGGGAGCCTGCTTCCCTTCCTCTCTCTCTGCCTACTTGTGATCTCTGTCTGTCAAATAAATAAATAAAATCTTTAAAAAAAAAAGCATATTTATCATGATGAACACTGAGTAATGTATAGAATTGTTGAATCATTGTACTGTACACCTGAAACTAATATAATAGTATGTTAATTATACTTTAATGAAATTTTTTAAATTATAAACATATACACATGAATCAACAAAGTCTCAAAATATATGAGGCAAACACAGTGACATAATTGAAAGGAGAAATACAGTATATAGTAATAGTTGGAAACTTCAACAGCCTGCTTCAATAATGGATAGAATACATAGACAGAAAATTAGTAAGGAAAGAAAGGACTTGAATAATACTATAAACCCAACTAGATCTAAAAGACAGAACAAAACACTCTATCCACCAATGGCAGAGTATCTGTTCTTCTCAAATGCATTGGGACATTCTCTAGAATAGACCATATGTCACATAATAAAACAATTTTAAAATTTAAAAAATAATCAAAATCATTCAATGTATCTTCTCTGACCAAAATGGGATGAAGCTAGAAATCAATACCAGAAGGAAAACTGGAAAACTCAAACACCTGGACATTAAACAACATACTTTTAAGCAGCCAGTAGATCAAATAAGGAATCACTAGGAGACACAAAAAAATACTTTGAGATAAATGAAAATAAAAACGCAACATACCGGAGCACTGGGTGGCTCAGTTAGTTAAGCCACTGCCTTCAGCTCAGGTCATGATCCCAGAATCCTGGGACTGAGCCCCACATCAGGCTTCTTGCTGAGAGGAGAGCCTGCTTCTCCCCCGCCTGCCATTCCCCCTGCCTGTGCTTGTTTTCTCCCTCTCTCTCCATCTCTCCCCCATCTCTCTCCCCCTCTCTCTGTGTCAATAAATAAATAAAAATCTTTAAAAAATAAAAATAAAAAATAAAAAAAAACACAACATACCAAAACCTATAGGGGGGCAGCAAAAGAAATGTTCTGTGGGAAATTTATGGTTGTAAACACCTCCATTTAAAAAAGACATCATGTCAACAACCCAATTTCACACCTTAAGGAACTAGAAAAAGAACAAACAAAACCCAAAGCTGAGAGAGGGAAAGAAATAATAAAGATTATATTCAAGAGAAACAAAATAGAGAAAAGCAATAGAAGGAATCAATAAAACCAAAGGTCAGTTTTCGAAAACAAAAATCAACAAAAATGAGAAACCTTTAGCTAAACTAAGAAAAAAACTGCAAATAACTGAAATAAGAGATGAAAGCAGGGACATACATTTACTTTTTCAATATTGTTTAGGCTACTGGAAGTCTCCTGCAATTTCATATACATTTGAGGAACTGTAGTTCAACTTTATAGAAATTAAAAGGACTATAAGAAAATACTATGAACAATTTTATACCAAGAAATTAGACAATCTAGATGAAATGTATGATATGACTTCCTAGGAAATTCCAAGACTAACTCAAAAAGTAAAAAATCTTAACAGACCAGTAACAATAGATTGAGTCAATTAATAAAAATAGCCTAACAAAAGAGAAGTCAGGACCATATGGCTTTAGTAGTGAATTCTATCAATCCCTAAAAGAAGAATTAACAACATTCCTTCTTCTTCTTCTTCTTCTTCTTCTTCTTCTTCTTCTTCCTCTTCCTCTTCCTCTTCCTCTTCTTCTTCTTCTACTTCTTCTTCTTCTTTTTTTTCCTGCAGGGAGACCAATGTGGGGCTCGATCCCAGGACCCAGAGATCATGACCTATGCCAAAGACAGACACCTAACTGACTGAGCCTCCCAGGTGCCCCAACAACAGTCTTTCTTAAACTCTTCCAAAAAAACAGAGAGGGACCTCTTTCTAACACATTTCATAAGGTCTGCATTAACCTGATACCAAAGTCAGACAAAGATACCATAAGAAAACTACAGACCAATATCTCTTAGAATATATACAAAATTCCTCAACAAAATACTACCACACAAGTTCCAAGAGCACATTTTTCTTTAAAAATTTTATTTATTTATTTGAAAGAGACAGAGACAGTGAGAGAGAGAATACAAGCGGGGGGAGTGGAAAAGGAAAAGCAGGCTTCCTGCTGAGCAGGGAGCTCAATATAGGGCTCCATCCCAGGACCCTGGGATCGTGACCTGAGCCAAAAGCAGACACTTAACAACTAAGCCACCCAGGTGTCCCCCAAGAGCACATTTTTAAAATTATACACCATCAAAGCACCTGGGTGGCTCAGTCAGTTAAGCATCCAACTCTTGATCTCACCTCAGGTCTTGATCACAGGGTCACGAGTTCAAGTCCCATGTTGGGCTCCATGCTGGGCATGCAGCCCACATAAATTTTAAAAATTTTAAAAATAAAGAGTATACACCATCACCAAGCAGGATATAAATCAGGAATGCAATGGCAGTTCAATATATGGAAATCAATGTAATGCATACCACACTAACAGAATTAAAAAACAACAACAACAAAAAAACTATATGATCACCTCAATACAGGCCCAAAAAAGCATCTGACAAATTTCTAACGATTCTCATGATAAAAAATTCCCAAAAACTAGGATAAAGGGGGAATTTCCTCAACACAGTAAGGGGAATTTATAAAAAAAAAAAACAAAAACAAAAAACCCATAGTTAATATCATACTTAACTAGTGAAAGAATGAAAGCTTTCCCTCGAAGATCAAGAACACAAAAATGCATGCTTTCACCACTGCTATTCAACATTGTATTGGATATTCTAGCAAGAGCAATTAGTCAAGGAAAAAAAATAAGATGCATCCAATTTCTGCTTGTAAATGGTATGATTCTATATACACAAAATCCCACAGAATCTACACACACACATACACACACCAAAAAACCTACTAGAGCTAACAGATGAATTCAGTAAAGTTGCAGGGTACAAGATAACACAATTAGTTGTGTTTCTACATGGCAGCAATGAACAATCTGGAAATTAAGAAAACAATTTTATTTCCTATAGCATTCAAAAGAATAAAATACTGGGGAATAAATTTAACCAAGAAAGTGAAATACTTATACATCGAAAACTATAAAGCATTGCTGAAAGAAATTAAAGCTGCCCCAAATAAATGAAAATACATCCCATGTTCACAAACTAGAAAACTGAATATGGTTAAGATAACAATAATCCAGAAAGATAACTAAATTCCTCAAATTTATATGGAGCTACAAGGTACTCTGAGTAGCCAAAACAATATTCAGAAAGTAAAATGCAGCTGAAAAACTCACATTTCCCAATTTCAAAATGTACCACAAACCTACCCTAACAAAAAAGTGCGGTATTGACCTAAGGACAGAAATAGAGACAAACAGAACAGAATTGAGAGCTAGAAATAAACTCAATCATCCATAACCCATTGATTTTTGACAAGACCATTCGATAGGGAAAGAACAATTTCCAACAAATGGTAAATAAATAACCACACACAAATAATGAAGTTGGACCCGTACCTCACTTCTTATACAAATATTAACTCAAATAAATGGCCTAAATATAAGAGCTTAAACTGTAAAATTACAAGAAAAAAAAAAAAAACCAGAGGTAATCTTCATAACCTCAAATTTGGCAACTGATTCACAGATTTCACACCAAAACATGAGCAGTAAAAATGAAAGACAAATTGGACTTCATAAAAATTATAATCTTTTTTGTTCATTAAAGAACACTATCAAGAATGCCAAGGGAAAACCTAAAGAATGGAGAAAAATTCTGCAAATCATATATCTGATAAAGGATTAATAATGAAAATATATAAAGAACCCTTATAATTCAACACATAGACAAACAAACCCAAATAAAAAGTGGACAAGGGACATCACAGTTTCTCCAAAGAAGATATAAAAATAGCCAATAAGCACATAAAAAGATTTTCAATATCTCTAGTCACTGAAGAAATACATGATGAAAAAACATTTCACATCCACTTAAGATAGCTTTAATCAAAGAATAAATTAATAAAAATGACAAGTGTTGGCAAGGATGTAGAGAAATATGACCCCTTGTATGTTACTGGTGGGAATGCAAAATGGTTCAACTGCTATGGAAAACAATTTGGCTATTCCTCAAAAAATTAAACACACAATAGTCACATGGCTTAGAAATTCTGCTTCTAAATATATACCTAAAAGACATGAAAACAGAAACTTGTACATGAATGTTTATAGTAGCATTATTCACAACAGTCAAAAGATAAAAAGAGTCCACATGCCAATCAGCACATAAATGAATAGACAAATTGGGGTATGTTATGCATTGTGTGTATGTATACTCAGCCATAAAAAGGAATAAAGAACTGACACATTCTACAACTTGGATGAACCTCAAAAACATTACACTAAGTGAAAGAAACCAGACACAAAAGGCCACATATTATATGGTCTACTTAAATAACTGCTTATAAGTTTCAGTATGGTTTTCTTTGATACTTTAAAACACCACGCATTTTTCAAGTAGTGATACTGTATTTACATGGATTTAATCTACAGTCACCACGGGGTTTCATATAGGAGGCTTTTCTCAGTACTTAAGTTTCTTCTATTTTAATCTCTTCTCTAATGCTTCGTTTTTGTCTTTTCTTATTAAGAAAAGGAAAACACAATTATACATCCAAACCTAGCATTAAACTACAGTTATTTTAAAGTGAGAAAATAAAGTCAAGTACATAAGGAAAATGCAAACAGGATGAGGACCTCTCCAAAATTCTAAGATGTGATCCTTTAAAGTATACAGTTTCTGTAATGAAATGTAAATGTTTATAGACTTTTCACCAAGGGACAGAACTTAGGCTTGATCAAGACCACGTAAGGTAAGAGATGTTAAGAATCCTAATGCTTACCTTTTCATTCTATTTGGGGGAAAAATGTATTCCTAAAGTTTTTAATCTTTAATATATAAATATTTGTACCATATAAAATTTTATAATAAGGTATAATTGTATATATAAATATGGCTATTACTGGACATGTAATTTTTAAGAGAAAATAAATTTATTTCAAAACACTACTTACTCAACTAGTTATGAATTATTTTAGAAATGCTCTTCTCAAACAAATTTTCTGAATTTTACAACTTTTTTTTTAAGATTTTATTTATTTATTCGACAGTGAGAGACACACAATGAGAGAGGGAACACAAGCAGGGGGAGTGGCAGGCAGAGGGAGAAGCAGGTTTCCCACTTGAGCAGAGAGACCAATGTTGGGCTCAGTCCCAGGACCCTGGGATCATGACCTGAGCTGAAGGCAGATGCTTAACAACTGAACCACCCAGGTGCCCCTATTTTACAACTTTAAAACCAAGTAAAAAATTACAATAATATATCACCTCACACCTGTCAGAATGGCTAAAATCAACAACACAAGCAACAACATGTGTTGGCAAGGATGTGGAGAAAGGGGAACCCTCTTGCACTGTTGGTGGGAATGCAGACTAGTGCAGCCACTCTAGAAAACAGTATGAAGGTTCCCCAGAAAATTAAAAACAGAACTACCCTATGATCCAGCAATACACTAGGTATTTACCCAAAGGATACAAACATACTAATTCAAAGGGATACATGCACCCTGATGTTTATAACAGCATTATCTACAATAGCCAAATTATGGAAACAGTCCTGTGTCCATCAATCGATGAATGGATAAAGAAGATATGGTGTATACACACACACACACACACACACACACACACACACACACACACACACACA